AACAGAGTGGCCTCACCCAAGCCCAGACCTCTCAGGGTGGCCCGCCCACATCTGGGTGATGCGGGGCTATGAAAGCCGCCCGGGGACATCTGTGCAGGGCCACTGCAGCTAGAGCACCCCCCAGGGCTGGCTGGGGCTGCTGTTGGCCTGCATCTCAGCCGCACTTCTCTGCCCGCCCTCCCTCCACTTCCCTTCCGTGGAGGCTGACACCTTAGTAAACATCCTACACGCTAACCTGCATCGCTTCCTGGGGATGCTGACCAGGAGAGTGCCCACAGCAGGGCACCACTGTTGGTCCATTTTACAGACGGGGACATGGAGGCTCACAGAAGTGCAATGAGATGGTCCCAAGCCCCGCGGCTGGTGAGTAAGGACACATGTGGTGGAAGCCATCACACTTCTGAAGCGGGAAGTGGCATCCTCCGGCTTTATAAGGGTGTCTCTGACTGCTGAGTGAGGAAGAACACAGGAGGCCAGGGCAGAACATGTGTGTGTGTGTGTGTGTGTGTGTGTGTAAGAACACAGGAGGCCAGGGCAGAACGTGTGTGTGTAAGAACACAGGAGGCCAGGGCAGAACGTGTGTGTGTGTGTGTAAGAACACAGGAGGCCAGGGCAGAACGTGTGTGTGTGTGTGTGTGTGTGTGTAAGAACACAGGAGGCCAGGGCAGAACGTGTGTGTGTGTGTGTGTGTGTGTGTGTGGGGAAGAACACAGGAGGCCAGGGCAGAACGTGTGTTTGTGTGTGTGTGTGTGTGTGTGTGTAAGAACACAGGAGGCCAGGGCAGAACGTGTGTGTGTGTGTGTGTGTGTGTGTGTGTGTGTGTGGGGAAGAACACAGGAGGCCAGGGCAGAACGTGTGTTTGTGTGTGTGTGTGTGTGTGTGTGTGTGTGTGTGTGTAAGAACACAGGAGGCCAGGGCAGAACGTGTGTGTGTGTGTGTGTGTGTAAGAACACAGGAGGCCAGGGCAGAACGTGTGTGTGTGTGTGTGTGTGTGTGTAAGAACACAGGAGGCCAGGGCAGAACGTGTGTGTGTGTGTGTGTGTGTGTGTAAGAACACAAGAGGCCAGGGCAGAACGTGTGTGTGTGTGTGTGTGTGTGTGTGTGTGTAAGAACACAGGAGGCCAGGGCAGAACGTGTGTGTGTGTGTGTGTGTGTGTAAGAACACAGGAGGCCAGGGCAGAACATGTGTGTGTGTGTGTGTGTAAGAACACAGGAGGCCAGGGCAGAACGTGTGTGTGTGTGTGTGTGTGTGTGTGTGTGTGTGTGTAAGAACACAGGAGGCCAGGGCAGAACATGTGTGTGTGTGGGGGTGGGGGGGGGGAAGAACACAGGAGGCCAGGGCAGAACGTGTGTGTGTGTGTGTGTGTGTGTGTGTGTGTGTGTGAGGAAGAACACAGGAGGCCAGGGCAGAACGTGTGTGTGTGTGTGTGTGTGTGTGTGTGTGTGTAAACCATTGAGTGCAGCGGTGCTGGGAGAGGTGAAGGGGGTCCTCCAAGGTGGTAGGGGGACTCCCTAGTCATCGTAGCTTCTTCAGGATCTGGCCAGACACAGCCAACACGTTTGGTAAATGCCTAGTGAGTGAGAACAGATGACAAAATCAAGGAAGGAGAGAACCAGACACCCCCACCTCTGATCCGTCTTGCTCTCTAGGATCCTGAGCGACCAGTGATCAGCATGGCACTCACATCTGGACACTCAGCTAAGGTGTTGTGTGAATAAATGAACAAATTCAATGGACAGAAGAAAAGAGGGAAGCAGAAGAAGATAAGGGGGTGCGGGAGGAGGACAGGGGGAGGGGAAGGGAGAAGGAAGTGGAAGAGAGGCTGGAAGGGCAGGAAGTTTAACGTCTTTGCACCCAGAATGACAGAAACTTGTGACCTCTAGTGGCAAAGGAGAGCCACATCACTGGGTTCAGGCCAAGGGGAATTCAGTCCTCTGGAATTGCAGGACCCTGAACTCAGGACACAAGAGAGTCCTAGTTCCCAAAAAGAGGGTTGGGGCAGGCCCTTACAAGGACATGGGCACTCAGTCAGGGTCTCCATCGGTTGGTGACGGTGGGGTTATGAGTTAAGGATGAGTGCAAGGCCAGAGCAGCGCTTGCCTAGGGCCCCCAAGACTCAGTAACTGAGACAAATATTTGAACGTGATATTTTAAACAAATCAACCCGGCAAACTGTGGGCCACAAACCAGGTGCCTGTCAGTGTAAAGGAGATCGTATGGGAAGCGGCATCAGGATCCAGGCTGATCCTGAGTTACAGGATACTCGGTTACAGGATCCTGAGTTACAGCTGATCCTGAGTTATAGCAGACTCTTCAGTTACAGCTGATCCTCAGTTACAGCTGATCCTGAGTTACAGCAGACCCCTGAGTTACAACAGACTCCCGAGTTACAGCTGATCCTGAGTTACAGGATCCTCAGTTACAGCTGATCCTCAGTCACAGCTGATCCTGAGTTACAGGATCCTCAGTTACAGCTGATCCTCAGTTACAGGATCCTGAGTTACAGGATCTTCAGTTACAGCTGATCCTGAGTTACAGGATCCTCAGTTACAGCTGATCCTGTTACAGCTGATCCTCAGTTACAGCTGACCCTCAGTTACAGCAGACTCCTGAGTTACAGGATCCTCAGTTACAGCTGATCCTGAATTACAGGATCCTCAGTTATACAGGATCCTCAGTTACAGCTGATCCTGAGTTACAGGATCCTCAGTTACAGCTGATCCTCAGTCACAGCTGATCCTGAGTTACAGGATCTTCAGTTACAGCTGATCCTGAGTTACAGGATCCTCAGTTACAGCTGATGCTGTTACAGCTGATCCTCAGTTACAGCTGATCCTCAGTCACAGCAGACTACAGCCCACGGGCCTCACCAGCACCCCCACTTCCCCGAGGGCAGCTCATACGGCTCGGGAACTCGCCCGCACGGGGCACTCGCCAGGCCAGGTTTGGGTAACTCCATCCTGTTCTCCAGATGTGGCCTGTGTCCTTTTTGCTGGACACCTCTGTCACAGCACCTTGCCCCAGCTCTGCCACTCATTCGCTGCGTGACCTGGAGCAAGGCTGACTTTCTCTGTGCCTCAGCTGCCTTCCCTTGAAGACGGGGCGATGTACACAAAGAACTTAACTACTCAAAACAGTTAACTGATGTTGCAAATGGGAGTTTGAATCCGAGGTCGGTTGCTTACTGCGATCCGAGCACAGCATACTCCACGTTGCTCAGTGTTTCCTTATCTGTAAAATGGAGGTTTGAACACCTGTCTGGGGGGCGGGGGGATCCCAGGGGGAATTCACACATGGCTGCTGGTGCTGTTGGCTGACTGATGCAAAGCACAGGCTGTCCCCATGTGGACTTCGAGGGAGCTGGGATCGCAGAGGGATCCTTAGCCTAGCCTCTGTGAGACACTGAACCAGGAGGGGAATCCACTGATCCCCCAGGAAGGCTTGTTCACCCTTGTTTCCCAGCCCGGGCTGAGGAAGAAGGTGGAATGCTCCTCCTGGGAACAGGTAGACATCTCTCCGGTCTCTGGTTATCTTCTTCTTCCCGCCGGCAGAGGCCAGTTTTTGCCTCCCTGTTGCTGCTGACACCTCCCCCAGCTGCTGGCCAGCATGTCACGTGGCTGATCATCCACCCGCCGACCATCATCACAGGCTCAACCTTCTCGCTGCTCTCTTGCCCTCACTCTGACTCCATAGGGTCTTTCCTCTACTGATGCCATCCTTTCACAACACAAATCAGATGCTCCCTGTTTAAAACCTCCTGAGCTGCGTTAATAAAAACCCAGTCTTGTTACCAGGCCTGGAATGACCCAGCACTTACCCGCTTCTTCTCCTTGCTTGGCTGCCAACCAGTCCCACTGGCCTTGCTGTCCCTCGAGGAAGTTCCTCCTTCACCAACTTGGTACATCATGTTCCATCCACCATCTCCTGGTTCTCGGGCATGTCTTAGCTCCAAGGTCACTTCATCAGAGGCTTCTCTGACCACTCCTGCCACTCCCACCGCAACGTGCACTCCTCGCGGTCACTTGGGATCTCAGCATCATTTACAGCCCTCATCACTGTCTGAAACTGTCTTAGGTACTTAGTTTGTTTCCCGAGTGGTTCACGTCCCCTCTGTCTCTGTTGCCTGGCACACAGCAAATACTAGGTATCTGCTGATGTAACGCCTGCACACATGGGTCAACCATTCCCTCCACAAGGCAGAGGAAACTGGGGAATGAGCCTGCAGTCTCGTTGAGAATATTCATTGAAAAAATTATGGCCAGCCTCTGTGGCCTTGGAATTCTTTGAAAAACAGTGTGATATAATGCCGATACATAATAAAATAATTTAAACACGTGTCATAGCCAGCATCTCATTTCTTAAAGGATAAGTGGAGTTAAGCAGCATTTTTCATTTTGTTTACCATACTCTCAAAAAGAACTGTATTTCACACCAAAACTTAGTATGTACTGTTGTCTATATACACATTTGAAACAAGTTTCATAAAACAATATTTACAATACTACATATAATGCACTTTAATTAATTTTCTAATCTTTGATTCCATTTCTTTTTTAATATGCTGGTTGCATCCCATTGTATTGGTTTCAAGACTATGTCATGAACACAACAACAAAAAAGGCTGGGTTAGAGAGCTGATAAAGATACACTGCCACCAACTGAGGCTCTGTCCTACTCTCTCCAGGACTGAAAAGTGGTTCAGTGTGGTTCACTGGTTCAGTATGCGGTTCAGCATTTTGTAACGTCACGCCCTTCAATCTGAGGTGTATGCCTTACAACTGCAGAGAAAGCCCGAGATTTATTCTGAATGCCCAGTCCTACCAGACATATACAGAGTGAGTGAGAACAGTGAACTGCAGGTGGTAATGCCGAACAAGCACGATCGCAGCACTGAAAATTACCCGACCATCTTTATTTATGTAGAATCTTATACTCATAGCCTTCCTTCAAATGTACTGTGAACAGTTTCCTGCTTGTGGTTGTCACAAAGAGAATTCTTCTAGCCTACCATGGATCTCTTTCTCCCTCTGAGGCGCACCTCATCTAATTTTTTTAACACTGGTTTGGCCTTTCTGGAGGAGGTGGAGTAGCTCTTCAGAAAGGCTTCGAACACAGTCTCAGTGTTGGGATGGGTACTGAGGAAGGCCTTCTCTAGCACGTACAGGTCAACTCCCTTGTCTTCCGGAAGTGTTGAAATGAAGCTCAGCCCAAAGTCTATGAGCACAATGTTCAGCTGCTCCAGGGGGGGTTTTAGGAGCATGTTGGATGTGGTGAGGTCACCATGAATGAGGTCTTCATCGTGCATTCGAGCCAAAACCTGCCCAATTGTCCTGGCTAAGCCCAGGAGACTTTGGGGAGATTTTTCAGTCTCCAGAGTGGATTCAATATAATCTCGAACAGTCACTGAGCCTTCGATTTCTTCCATAAATAAGCAGTTGGAAGCATAGTCCACAAAAAAGACAACTGGGGCACATATTCCTGTAACCAAGATAAGGGGTCATTGAATTAGATACTTTTTTTTTTCTTAAAAGTAAGCTTAATTTTCTAGCTCAATCAGAAAAATTTTCCAGTGTGTATCTGCATATTTGGGGGAAAAAATTTAGGAATACTGCAGAATGGCACAGCTTTCCTTCTCTGGAAGTTTCTCCTGCCAGACTATGCTTAGACCACCCCAGCTAAGGTCAGCACAGCCAAAACTCCCTCCTCCCTTCCACCCACTGTGATTGAACTTCATTTGTCATATTGGGGCTTCCCTGGCAGTTCAGCTGGTAAAGAATCCACCTTCAATGCAGGAGAACCCAGTTCAATTCCTGGGTAAGGAAGATCCACTGGAGAAGGGATAGGCTACCCACTCAAGTATTCTTGGGTTTCCCTGGGGGCTCAGCTGGTAAAGAATCCACCAGCAACATGGGAGACCTGGGTTCAATCCCTGGGTTGGGAAGATCGCTTAGAGAAGGAACAAGGCTACCCACTACAGTATTCTGGCCTGGAAAATTCCATGGACTGTGTAGTCCATGGGTCTCAAAGAGTCGGACACAACTGAGCGACTTTCACTTTCACTGTCATACTTCTTCCCTAAAATACAAATCCAAATAGAGCCAGAAGGGTAAGCACCAACAGTCATATATTCAAACATATGAAAGCAGTTTCCCGACAAGGACACAAGCTGGAGGTCAAGCAGCATGCTGGCTTAGAGATGCATCTTTACAGAGAGGAAGGACAGGTCCAAATCCCAGCTCCCTTCCTTATTAACTGTGTATCTTTAAAGATACATGCATTTCTCTAAGCCTCCATTTCTGCCTCTATAGCATGAGAACAGCATACCAATAATCCAATGACTTCACTGAATGACTCTTTACTGAATGTCAATCACACTCAAGACACTTTGAGATACTAGAGACAAACGTGTAGAGATACAGCAGGAAACAAAGCAACTGAGGTCCTGCTTAATAGAACTTAGCTCCTGGAAAGGGTGAAAATAGGAAATAAGAACGCATACATAACTTTGCAAATCCAAGCAAGGGCAGAGACAGTGTTCTTGTTGGCAACTGAATTTCTTCCAGATCTCCCAACACCTGACAATGTCTTGGTGTACAGTAGATGTCTAAAAAATTACCAATGAAAGAAACAAAGATAGAAAGTGTAAAAGTGAAAAGTCAGTGTTGCTGAGTCAGAGGGATAGGGGGTGAAAGCCTTACTAACTGTGTAAACTTGAGCAAGTTACTTCTCCCCTCTGAACCTTGTTTCTCAGCAGAGGCAAAGGTTTATGGTCATGGTGCAAAACAGTGTTTAGTCAAAGCTATGGTTTTTCCAGTAGTCACCTACGGATGTGAGAGTTGGACTATAAAGCAAGCTAAGCGCCAAAGAATTGATGCTTTTGAACTGTGGTGTTGGAGAAGACTCTTAAAGAGTCCCTTGGATTGCAAGGAGATCCAACCAGTCCATCCTAAAGAAAATCAGTCCTGAATATTCACTGGAAGAACTGATGCTGAAGCTGAAACTCCAACACTTTGGCCACCTGATTGACTCATTTGAAAAGACACTGCTACTGGGAAAGACTGAAGGCAGGAGAAGGGGACAACAGAGAAAGAGATGGTTGGATGGCATCACCGACTGGATGGACATGAGTTTGTGCAAGCTCGGGGAGTTGGTGATGGACAGGGAGGCCTGGTGTGCTGCAGTTCATGCGGTCGCAAAGAGTCGGACACGACTGAGCGACTGAACTGAACCAGACTGTGTGAACCCAGAGACCCTGGCTCCTGGACAAGTACTTGTAAATACATCTGCTTCTTAAAAGTAACTAATAAAAAATAACAGTGGTTGAAAGTTGAGATTGTACAGATGGGGAAACTGAGGCTCGGGGCAGTTAAAAGACATGCTCAACGTTGAGTAAAGGGGGAAGAGTCGGCAACTGAACCAGACGCCAAGAGCTCCGGGACAAATGCTTGTCGCTACAACGTTAAGTGGCTTCTTAAGAGTTAATGAAAGGAAAAGAAGGATGCAAGGATGACATTTCTTAATGGAAAGCCTTGAAGAATGTACAAATGGACAAACTGAGTAAAATCTCGCCCCCCACCCCAACAACCCCGCAGCGCAGGGGAGCCCCTCACCTGCGTCGCCCGGGCCCCGGAGTCTCGGGGCTTTCCCGCGTCCCCAAGCTGGGCCGTCTTACCTGCGCGGCGACAGCGGAGCAACGCCCGGGCCTCCTGCACAGTCCGCCGCCGGCTCAGCCGCGCTTCCAGCGTCGGGTGCCGGTAGCCCTTGGGGAAGCGGTGCTTCACCACGGCCGCGCGGCCCTGGAATCGGCCGCGGAATACGCGCGCCTCGGCGCCCTGCTTCACCAGCTCCAGGCCGCTCAGGAAGCGGCTGCTCCGCTCCCGGGCTGCGGCCAGCGCTTCGGCCGCGGGCGCCAGCTCCTCGTTCGGCTCAGCAGCAGCAGCGCCGGCCGCCGCCATGTTTGCGTTTCAGCGTCGCCGCGCGGAGCTCCTCGGCCGCCTCCGGAAACTGTCGGGGCTTCTTCGGCTCGCTCCGGAAATGCTCGGGCCTCTTCGGTCTCTCTAAGGTCGACTCTTTTGCCTCGTAGAAGTGGTTCCCCCTGCCAATCTTTCTGCTCTTTTCTAAGGCTCCTGGCCCCGCCACTCGGCTCTTCGGCTATTTCCGTAAACCCTCGGCAGCTCTCCGTGAGCCGCTCTTTCCACTCCTCGGCTCTTTCCGGAAGCCCTTCGTGACTCCTGCGGTTGGCTTTGGTGACACCACCTCTCAGCTCTTCGGCTATTTCCGGAAAGCTTCGGCGTCTCTGAAAAACCTCTTTTGGAATCTGCTCTCAGTAATCCATCTGGATCCTGGGAAGTTGTACTTCACAGTCCCTGCGTTTCATTCATACACAGGGAAGGTAACCTTTTCAAACATCAGACCCTTTGTTTTGGCCTAATGTGGTTTCCAGCACCTTTCATCAGTTCAGCCTACTTGAAGCTCCTATAGAACCAATTCTATTTGGTTTGGAAAACCCAGTTTCCCAAGTTTGTAGTTTCATTATCATAATTCTTAGTGTCCATATGGTCATCTCCATGGTTACCAAATCTGTCTGAGTTGCTCTGTATGGTTGTTAGCATAACTGAGGCCATCTTGGGTCTGTACAGTTCCTTCTGTCCTTCTGCTCACCCTACCTATGGCTGTTCTGTGTAGTAAATCTCTGTCATCAGTGATTTTTAGGTCCAGGTGGCCTCTATACTTTGTTAGCCTCCAAACGATAAAGACCTTTGCTGATGTACTCTTGGTTCCTGCAAAAACTAGTTACCCATTCATGAATCTTGACTGAGGAATGATGAATCTTGACTGAGGAATGCACTTCCTGTTTCCAAGGATGTACCCCTAAACTGTAAGTTAACTATAAAATTGTCCCAATGGCCTCTCGAAGGTTCAGAGTGCAGCTGCAAATGCTTCTGGATTGCCGTCCACTTGATTCTACCCTGTAAGTTACCTTATAATAAACTTATCTGTTGATTACATGGAGCTGCCTGCCTTGTTTTCCGTTCTCAAGATACCTTTTCAGTTTGGTGGGCACTTTTTGTTTCCTCCAATTTCCAACACCCTCCTTTGGAAAAATCCATTGTGCAAACATATTTAAAAGTCCCAGGCTTGCTATAGTCAGACTGGTTCTGACTTCTACCATAGGAAATCTAGTTTAAAATCTTTCAGTGGCTCCCTGTTGTGCTTCAGATAAAGACCCATGAGGTCTTGCATGGGGCCCTGTGTCCCTCTCGCAGATTCATCTCCCACCAAACTTCCCTTTGCTCTGGGATCTTCAAACACATTTGCCTTCTCTCAGTCTCATTCTTGCCAGGCTCCCTCTTGCCATGGGGCCTTTGCACCTGCTATTGCCCACATCAGAAGTGCTCTTCCTGCTCTTGGTTGCCTAAACTCATCTAGGCATCTTTCCATTTCCAGCTCAAATGTTATTTCCTCAGGAACCCCTCTCTGACTTCTCATAGGAGGGAAAACCCAACTTAATAATTCCTGGAGTCCCTGTGAATCTCTCTTTTGTGTTGCCTTTTTGTTTGCTTATATGACTATTTGATTAGTGGCAGGATTTAGTTCCCCACAGATTGTTAATCTGAGGGCCTTAATTCCTCCCTGGTATTGCCTGGAGGGCACCCTCAATTCTTGCCACACTGGCCTCTCCACTGGGCAACTCATAACACAGCAGGTAGCTTCATCAGAGAGAGTAAGTGATCAGAAGAGGTTTAGCAAGATGGAAATCACCATCTTTTATAACCTGATCTCTAAAATGACAAACATTTTAGAGTACACTTTTGCTGTATTCTCTTTGTTAGAAATGAGTTACTAGGTCTTGCCTCGCCTCAAGGGAAACCATTTTAAAAAAAATAATGTTTATCCTTTAAAAATTTATTTATTTATTTATTTTAATTTTTTTGTGGCTGAGCTGGGTCTTTGTTGCTTCATGTGGGCCTTCCCTAGTTGCAGTGTTGCGGTGAGTGGCAGCTACTCTCTAGTTGTGGTGTGTGGGCTTCTCATTGCAGTGGCTTCCCTTGTGGTGGTTTCTCTTGTGTTGGAGAACGGGCTTTGGAGCACATGGGCTCAGTAGTTGTGGCTCGTGGGCTTGCAGTTTGCCCCATGGCTTGTGGAATCTTCCCAGACCAGGGATTGAGCCCAGATTCCCTGCATTGGTACGTGGGCTCAAGCCACTGGACCACCAGGAAAGTCCAAGGGAAGTCATTTTTGAAGACGTCTACCAAAATGCCCAATTAGAAATTTTTCTTTCTCATTTGGGGCAACCAGTGAAGAGAGATTCTCTATTCTCTAGGAGAGATAGAACCGGAAAGCAGACCTGCAATTATCCTGACATAATGCAAGCCATGAAGATCAAAGACTTCCTGCCCTTTTAAATCATATAACTTCTACAAGTTATCTCAGGAATGGAACAGCCTAGGCTTTTGTGTATGTCTCCTGGTGACAATTCCAGATACGCACATGAAGGAGGAACTGTCACGTGGCAAAAGTCAAGAGGCCTCCTTGGGCTCTTCTCCATGCCAAGAGCTAGATGGATAAGAGCACGGTTTTCCCCATAAGCTGGACTTCAAGGTCAGCTATATACTGTGTGTCCTTAAGCACTATTGATTTTATGTATTGTTTATAATGCAAGTTACTTCACGTCCCTTTGCCTCACTTTCCTCATTCATAAAATGCTCCTCTCCCAGTCCATCTGCCCTTATCGAGTCTGTCTGCTGACTTTTCTCCAGCCCCACTGCTATCACTTTGCTGCTGCTGCGTCGCTTTAGTCGTGTCCGACTCTGCGCAACCCCATAGATGGGAGCCCACTAGGCTCCCCCATCCCTGAGATTCTCCAGGCAAGAACACTAGAGCAGGTTGCCATTTCCTTCTCCAGTGCATGAAAGTGAAAAGTGAAAGTGAAGTTGCTCAGTCATATCCGACTCAGCGACCCCAAGGACTGCAGCCTACCAGGCTCCTCTGCCCATGGGATTTTCCAGGAGAGTAGTGGAGTGGGGTGCCAATCACTTTAGTCCACATCAATGTCACCTTTTCAACCTGCAACAGCCTCTAAAGGGTCCCCTGTTTCCATGCCTGCCCCCTATAACCTGCTAGAACTGCCCAATTATTTCTGTGTCAGTTGGAATAAAATCCCATCCTGACCCCGGCCTCCCAAGGACTTAGATTATCTGGGTTGGCCAACATCTACCCTGGACTTGGCTTCCCAAGTGGCGCTGGTGGGAAGCAGCCCAAGCAGCCCGCCTGCCAATGAAAGAGGCATAAGAGCCTCAACTTCGATCCCTGGGTGGAGAAGATCCCCTGGAGGAGGGCATGGCAACCCACGCCAGTATTCTTGCCTGGACAATCCCCATGGACAGAGGAGCCTGGTGGGCTACAGTCCAGAGGGTGAAGAAGAGTCGGACACAGACTGAAGCGACTTAGCACGCATGCGTGCATGCACCTTGGACCCTATCTCCCCCTCTGCTCAGACACTCTGGCTGCACAAGCTCCTCCCTGCAGGGCCTTTGCCTTTGGTCTCCCTTCTGTCTGGAACCCGAGGTCTCAGCTCAAAAAAATCCCCTCCCCACCCCCAGCTAAAGCAGCCACCTGTGGCTGGCTAACCCAGCACCCTAGCTTAATTCTCTGCCTGGCCTTCATCACTAGATGGTATTTCTCTGGTTCTTTTGGCTATTTATCTTTCTGCTTCCCACACCAGAAAGTAAACTCCACAGGAACAGAACGAACTGTCTTTCTGGTTCTCCCAGCCCATACTCTAGACGTAGGAGAGTGCCTGAGGGCAGGTGGGAGGTGTCCAAACCTAAGTGTTCAATGAATGGAAGATAAATCCGTGAGAGCGTGAGCGGCTGAAGTGGGTGTGTGTGTCAGTGTGGATGCTGGGGAGGCCAAACTAGCGTGGACCGCAGTGATTCGGACTCCTTTCCTCCAGGAGGACAAATCGTGGGCTCCCCACCCGCAACCGGGATGACGCTGGGTGGGTTCCCAGCCGGGCCGGGCGGGACTGGCGACGTCCCGAGCGCACCGCCGTCCCCCGCCCCCAGCACAGGGGCCCTGAGCTGGCCGACGTGGCGGCGGCGCCGCAGGAGGGCAGGCGGGGAGGGAGGGACGGAGGCGGGCCGGAAAGTTTGTCCGGCTGCGGCTGACGAGGCGGGGACTCGGCGGGGGAGATGCACGCCCAGTCCCCCAGCGCCCCCCGCTCTCCTCGGGAGTCCTGGTCGCCATGGGTAAGTCGCGATCGGCGCTGCGGGCAGAGGGGCGCTTCGGGCAGGGAAGCCCCGCGATCCCATCCTTGCGCGCGCAGCCTCTGCCCGCCGCTGCCGCGCCCAGACCAGATACCTCCCACTCGGGTGGCCGCCGGGACAGCAGGCCTTGGCTGGGGGCTGGGAAGGGACTTGGGCCCACTTCCTTCCACGTTCCTTTCCGCCCAGAAAAAAAGTGACCTGAGAGGGCTCTTTAACTTGATACCGGGAGCTTATTCCGGGGCCCTACCCTCTCCTGACCTCTTGAAGCCTTGCAGCGTCCCATGAGTGAGTGAAATTGTTCCTATCCTGCAGACGAAGAAGAGGTTCCGAAAGGAGCAAACTCATTCATGGCTTCGCTGAGCACTTCTCTCCAGGCACTGTTCTAGGCTTGGGATGCTGCCCTACACAAAACAGACAAAAACCTCTGCTGTCGGATGCTCAGTGGAGGGGAAGATAGAGGAGAGTTGGGGCGGGGGTGAGTGGTGGGGTTTTGTGGGGTGGGAAGGTTAGGAAACTTTGTTGCTCCAGGGGACTAAGGTTTGTGTTTTTCTCTCTGGATTTAGAAGCCTCAAAAGGTCAATCATTGATCCACCTACTACCTGGCAGACATCGATTTAGGGGTTGGGAACTCAGTGAACCTGTATGTAGATTTGGGGGTCAGAAAGACGGGTAGGGGGGCGGTTCCAGCCCTCATTCTCCCATTTCCCAGGTGCATCCTGATCTAGGACAGGGTAGTTAACTTCTCTCACCTTAGTTTTTGCATCTCCAAAACAGTCACCAGGAAATACCCCATCACAGGGAAGCCATGTGAATGACATGAGAATATGAACTTAAATACTCCATATACCACTTGCACATGGTAAATGATCTGTTAACATGAGATTTTATTTTTTTAATCACACCCAGCATTGGGACTCTGGAATCAGACTACTCAAGTTCAGAATATGCTCTATGACTTGATAAACTCTTGGTTCAGTTCAGTTCAGTTCAGTCACTCAGTTGTGTCCTACTCTTTGCGACCCCATGAATCACAGCACGCCAGGCCTCCCTGTCCATCACCAACTTCCAGAGTTTACTCAAACTCATGCCCATCAAGTCAGTAGTGCCATCCAGCCATCTCATCCTCTGTCGTCCCCTTCTCCTCCTGCCCCCAATCCCTCCCAGAATCAGGGTCTTTTCCAATGAGTCAACTCTTCGCATGAGGTGGCCAAAGTACTGGAGTTTCAGCTTCAACATCAGTCCTTCCAATGAACACTCAAGACTGATCTCCTTTAGGATGGACTGGTTGGATCTCCTTGCAGTCCAAGGGACTCTCAAGAGTCTTCTCCAACAACACAGTTCAAAAGCATCAATTCTTCTTTGCTCAGCTTTCTTTATAGTCCAACTCTCACATCCATACATGACCACTGGAAAAACCATAGCCTTGACTAGACGGACCTTTGTTGGCAAAGTAATGTCTCTGCTTTTTAATATGCTATCTAGGTTGGTCAAACTCTCAACCCTAGGCAAACGTCTTTACTTCTCTGTGCCTCAGTTGCTTAATCTGTAAAATGGGAACAGCACCAGTGTCTGTGACACAGGGTTAATGTAGGAATTAAGGCAGCTGCTGAGGTATGGCTTCTGGAAAGGAGGTAAGCTGGCTATAGTATCAACAACAGTTCCACTTATATCACCTGTTGTTGGGACACTTGGAAGCCAGTCGTCTGGGTGAAGATATTTGCATGGGTCAGTTTCTCTCCTGGCTTTTCCCTGGAGTTTCAAGGGAAGCCATGGCAGGTCTCTGGTCGGGGAGGGATCCAATACATTGTGCCTCTGGGTGAGATGCTGCTCTAGCGTCACCCACCGAAGGTGCCCTGGGACTTGTGGCTGGTGACGTGTGCAGCCATGACCTGGCTTTTTCCTCTCCACCTGCCCCTTGATTCTCTCCCCTGGGAAGCTCTGCTTTCAAAAACTGAGGGATTTCATCCAGGGTGAGCCAGTTTCACATATTATATTTAGACAGACAATCCATAGAAAGGGAGTTGTTTAGTCGCTCAGTCGTGACCGATTCTTTTGCAACCCCAGGGACTGTAGCCTACCAGGCTCCTCTGTCCATGGGATTTCCCAGGCAAGAATACTAGAGTGGGTTGCCTCCCCCAGGGGATCTTCCCGACCCAGGGATCAGACCCAGGTCTCTTGTATCTCCTCCATGACAGGCAGATTGTTTACCTGCTGAACCATCCAGTACCTAAATTCAGGCTGGGCCGTTATAGTTTGGAGGCCAGGGTTTACTCCACTTCCTGTCCATCGCCACTTCCAGACCCTGAATCCGCCAAGATGCTCAAGAGCCCAAACCCTTTCTGTCTGGATTCCCTATGTCCTGAATTCACTCGTTTATTCAATCATGTGTTTCCTCAACCAGTATTTACTGGGTGTCTACTGTATGCCAGGAACTGTCCCCAGCATCAGGAGACAACTGAGAACTCACAAAGAACTCCTGTCCCTTTAGGGTTGACATTCTGGTTGTTGAGCCCCCCAAATATGTTAAATGTAAGTTATTTCAGGTGATGAAAAGTACCATGGAGGAAACAAGCAGGAAAGTGGAAAACGAAGGGCTGGATGCCATGGGAGCTTGCAGTTTTAAGGAGAGCATCAGGGAAGGCCTCATGAAAAGGTGATGCTGAGCAGGAGCCAGAGGGAAGTGGAGTTGGGGTCACTGAAATGAAGAGAAAGGGCTTTCCCAGCAGAGGTGAGATCTGGTAAAAAGCTTTGACTTGAGACGGGCTTGGAGTGAGGAGGCACCGCAAGGAGGCTGGTGTGCCAGGAGTTCAGTGAGAGGAGTCAGGTCCTATAGGGCCTTGAAAGTCACTGTTAGGACTTTGACTTTTTTCACAGCGAAAGAGGAGCCTTGGAGGACTCTGGGCAGAATGATGTGGCCTGACTTGGGTTATCATACGGTCTCTCTGGCTGCTCTAGAGCATTAGATTAAGTTCAAATGTATCTGACACAGTCCTTGGAATGGGACGTGGAGATACTGCCCTGGATCCTGACTCAATCTTTCATTCACTCAGTAGAACCTTTAATCGACCCATCTTAGGTTTCAGGGTGGGGCTGGGGCCTAGAGACACAGAGACAGTAAGTCTCTGTTCTCATCATGTCCCGTTTAATAAGGAAAACACATCGATTTCACAATTACTTGGTGTGAGCAAATGCAGAAGAAAGCAGAATTGGCTGGAAGTGAAAAATATGACTTAGAAAGTTGAAGAAGATGTACAGAAATTAGAGTCTCCGTCAAACTAGCTTAACCAGGAAAAAACTAAAAAGGTGCTTATTTATTGGTCTCTGAAAACATTTACGGCTTCAGGCATGGTTGGATCTATGAGCTCGGGCAGTGTAGTCAGGATTCCCTGCTAGGGAAAGATGGCCCCCAGCTGCTCCAGGCAGGTAAACTACCAGCTCAGAAACCCAAATAAGCAACCACCCTGGGCTGGACTGTCTCTCACTGGCTCAGGTTCAGCCACGTGGCATTCACCACTGCCCAAGGCCGGAGAATCTGCTAGCTAGTCAGACCTTGGTCATGGACACAACGTCTGGAGCTGGGTGATGGGGGGTGGAGGTGGGGAGGTCAAGTCTACCCAGATCCAGAGGTTGAGAGATGAAGACAGGAGAGGCGAAGACAGCTCCCCACAGAGCATGGAGGCCTGAGGCCAGATCACAGATGTGTATTACTGGAGCCCCTCAGGGAGGTGAACTGGGGCTGAAGAGGATGAGTGAGCATTTGGGGAACACAGGTCGGGAAGAGAGGGACCAGTTCATGTGCAGGGCAGAACAGCAGGAAACTCTATGGTGTGTGCTGGGAACAAGTGTTTGCAGGGTGTGTCGGAGGGGTGGGGATAGGGGTGGACAGGAGAGGTGGCTAAGGAGGTGGGCTGGGGCCACCAGCTCGTGCAGGGACTGGGAGGTCATGCTAACGAGTTAATAGAGCAGGTGGTAGGAGACTTGGAAAGCTTAAATACATGGGTTTGGGAGTCAGATGGGACAGCGTTTGAGTCCTGATCCTGTTGCTTCCCAGCTGTGAGAACACTTGGTTTCTCACAGAACACTTAGTTTCTGAGCCTTAGTTTTCCCATCTGTCAAATGGGGGTAATCACAGCAGTACCACCTAGAGTTGTCACCAAGGTGAATTGAGAGAAGGCACCTGAAGTCTTTGCAGAGAGGAGACACTCTGTCAGTGACACTTGTTATTATTACTGTTTGATCTTCCTTTATTGTTGCTGTTCTGCTCTTGCCACTGAGACCTGAGTCTGTCCTTCTGCATTTTCTGGTGGAACCTGTGGACAGTCAACTTTGCCCCTGAGCCCTTTGGCTGGGTTCCCATTCACCTCCAGAAGAACCCAGGACATGGCAGAGAAGTTCTGTGTTTTCACAGGATTGCCTCACATGGCCTGGATAAAACTTCCCTTCTGGCAGTGAACTCTAGAAACTGAGGGAGGTAGGGCAGAAGTGGGTGACAAGGGGCAGGACCTGGGCAGCATCATCCCCCCAGGGTGTTGGTTGATGGTCATGAAGAGGAAGGACTAGGCCAGCCAGGGAATAGTAGGGGGTTGTTTCCTGGGGGGCATAAGTGATGGGGAGAAAAATGAGCTGGCGGGGGAGGTGATTCCTCCACCCATGAAAGTCCTCTCCCTGCCCCTGCACAAAAATTGCCTAACATAGATGGGGTGAGGCAGGAGTGAGAAAACAGTGAAATTTTATTCTGCCAAGGTTTTATACTGGAGTGGCTAAGGGTACAGATTGTGGAACCAGAGCGCCAGGCTTTGAATCTCAACAAGCTGCTGCTGCTAAGTCGCTTCAGTCGTGTCCGACTCTGTGTGACCCCATAGACAGCAGCCCACCAGGCTCCACCGTCCCTGGGATTCTCCAGGCAAGAACACTGGAGTGGGTTGCCATTTCCTTCTCCAATGCATGAAAGTGAAAAGTGAAAGTGAAGTCGCGCAGTCGTGTCCAACTCTAAGCGACCCCATGGACTGCAGCCTGCCAGTCTCCTCCATCCATGGGATTTTCCAGGCAAGAGTACTGGAGTGGGTTGCCATTGCCTTCTCTGACAAACCTTATGAGTTTTTGCCTAATTAAAAAACTTATGACATTTTGATTCTACTTGTTTGATCTAGTATGAATAGAATGCTAGATTTTTAATACTTTTCATCTTAGGCAAGTCATTTCGTGTCTCTGATAATCGGTTTATATGTGTGTGCTCAGTTGCTCAGCAGTGTCCTACTCTTTGTGACCCCATGGACTGTAGCCCGCTAGGCTCTTCTGTCCATGGGGATTCTCCAGGCAAGAATACTGGAGTGGGTTGTCATTCACTTCTCCAGGGGACCTTCCCAATCAAACCCAGGACTCTTGCATCTCCCGCATTGGCAGGCGGATTCTTTACCATTAACACCACCTGAGAAGCCAGGTGATCAGTTTACTCCTTCATAAATAATACAAAAGCCCACCTCATAAAGTTGTGGTGAGAATTAAATGAGCTAGTCCACTAAAAGGGCTCAAAGCAGTGCCTGTTCCAGAGCAAATACTCCATAAATCTGACTACAATGTTATGAATGTTCTTGTCAGGTCCAGGGTAGGGGGTGGGTGAGACAGATATGTCTGGATTACTCTAGATGCTTCCAGAAATATTTGTTTGTTTAAATATGTGAATTAAAAATTAAGAGCAGCCTGTTTAGCTGCTCTGCCAGTACAGTAGTTGCTGGCCACATGTGGCTATTTTCACACTTAATTAAAATTAAATAAAATTAAAGCCACAGTTCCTCAATTACACTGGCCACATTTTAAGAGTTCGATTTAAAAAAAAAAAAGTGCCTAGAATCCACTGAGAGTGAAATGCATCAATGTCCTCCTGATCTGGCCCCTGCCTACCTCTCCTACCTCATCACCGATTACTCTCACCTACTGATCTCCAGCCACTCTGGCCTCCTTGCTCAATAGGCTGTGATTAAAAGCCTGAAGTCTCTAGTCACATCAACTGTGCCACTTACTTGCTGTGTGACCATGAAGTTTCTTCACCTCTCTGTGCCTTGGAGGATGATGCTAATAATAGTAGATTTTAAGGTTGTTGTAAGAATTAAATGAGTAAATACATGTAAAGCCCTTAAAACAGAGCCTGGTACTTAATACCATAGGAGTACTAGCTATTAATAGTTATTTTTCAAACATGCCCCAAACTGTCCAGCTTCAGAGCCTTTGTTTCTGTTATTCCCTTGTCTAGAATGTTCTCCTCCCATACTTGACATGATTTTCACCCTCCCTTCATCCAGATCTCTGCTCAAGTTTTCCCTCTTCAGAGATGCCTTAGCTGCCTGGCTACTCTATTTAAAACAGAACCCCTCCATCATTCTCAATCCCCTTTCAGCTCAGCCCAGTCTCTCAGTCATGTCCAACTCTTTGCGACCCCATGGTCTGCAGCACGCCAGGCCTCCCTGTCCATCACCAACTCCTGGAGCTTACTCAAACTCATGTCCATCGAGTCAGTGATGCCATTCAGCCATCTCATCCTCTGTCATCCCCTTCTCCCCCTGCCTTCAATCTTTCCCAGCATTACCTGCTCTTTTTTTTTTTTTTAACGACACCTATCACCTATTCGTTTATTATCTGCCTTTTTCTACTAGAATGTCAGGTCCTTGAAAATACCACTGTATTGTCAGCCCCAAGAACACAGCCTACTGGCATAAAAAATTATGCCAGATAATTTTTTGAATGATTGGATGGATGAATGAATGGATGGGTGTGTGTGTGTGTCTGGGTAAGTAGCAAATAGAATACAATGATGGGTGGATGAATATATTTTTGGATAGATGGATCAATAAATGGATGGATATTTGGGTGAATTAAGGGGTAGATGAATGGACCAATGAATGGAAGAATATGTGGTGGATGAAGTAGGTGGATGGATGGAGGAGTGGATGATGAAGGAATGGGTAAACTGATCAATAGCTGGATGAACAGATGGAGTGGATGGATGAAGGAAGGAGTGGATGGATGGATGATGGGTAGATGGATGGAAGGAAGGATGGAGGGAGAGATGGATGAAGAAAGAAATGGATGAAGGAAGAACTGGGTGCATGCATACATACATGTGTGGGTATATGGATAGATGGATGAATAAATGAATAGATGGATATATAAACGAATAGATGAGTGAATAGATGGAGAGATGGAGGGCTGGACAGGTGGAGAGGGGGTTTGATGGGACAGATGGATGGACGGTTGGATGCTCTGGAATGGAAACATTCTGCGCCCGCCCTGTCACTTTTGTTTTTCAGGCCGACCTTCACTCCTCCTACCCCTGTGTGCTTCGGTGTCCTTGCTGGGTGGCCTGACCTTTGGCTATGAACTGGCAGTCATATCGGGTGCCCTGCTGCCGCTGCAGCTTGATTTCGAGCTGAGCTGCTCGCAGCAGGAGCTCCTAGTGGGCAGCCTGCTCCTGGGGGCTCTCCTCGCTTCTCTGGTAGGCGGCTGCCTCATCGACCGCTATGGCCGGAAGCAAGCCATCCTGGGGAGCAACTTGGTGCTGTTGGCAGGCAGCCTGAGCCTGGGCCTGGCCGGCTCCCTGGCCTGGCTGCTCCTGGGCCGCTCGGTGGCTGGCTTTGCCATCTCCCTCTCCTCCATGGCCTGCTGCATCCACGTGTCCGAGCTGGCGGGCCCACGGCAGCGGGGAGTGTTGGTGTCCCTCTACGAGGCAGGCATCACCGTGGGCGTCCTGCTCTCCTACGCGCTCAACTACACGCTGGCCGGCGCCCCCAGGGGATGGAGGCATATGTTTGGCTGGGCCGCTGCGCCCGCTCTCCTGCAGTCTCTCAGCCTCCTCTTCCTGCCCGCTGGTACAGCTGGGGCTGCAGCCCGCAAGGACCTCATCCCGCTGCAGGGAGGCGAGGCCACGAAGCTGGACCCCGGGAGGCCGAGATACGCCTTTGTGGACCTCTTCAGGGCCCGGGATAACATGCGGGGCCGGACCGTCGTGGGGCTGGGGCTGGTGCTTTTCCAGCAGCTGACCGGGCAGCCCAACGTGCTCGCTTACGCCTCCACCATCTTCCGGTCGGTCGGCTTCCGGGGAGGCTCCTCCGCTGTGCTGGCCTCCGTGGGGCTCGGTGCGGTGAAGGTGGCGGCTACCCTGATGGCCATGGGGTTGGTGGATCGAGCCGGCCGCAGGGCGCTGCTGCTCGCCGGCTGTGCCCTCATGGCCCTGTCGGTCAGCGGCCTCGGCCTCGTCAGCTTTGCTGTGCCCCTGCACTCGGGCCCAGCCTGCCTGGCCGTGCCCAACGCCACCAGGCTGTCGGGGCTCCCTGGAGACTCCAGCCTGCCCAGGGGCTTGGCTCCACCTCGGCCGCCCAAGACCAACCAGAGCCCGGGGCGGCCAGTCTTGTCAACCTCTGAGAGGACCAGGCCTCCTCTGGGAGCCGAGGACCCTACAGCCCTAAGCCTCACTCCCCCTGGAGGCCTTTCTCCCGCCCCCGAGCACGCCCTGCTGCACTGGACCGCGCTGGTCTGCATGATGGTCTTTGTGAGCGCCTTCTCCATTGGCTTTGGACCCGGTAAGTGGGAATCTTCTGCAGGTAACTTGGAAGCCTTCTACCGCTCCTAGCAGAAAGCCTGGGGACTGAACCCATCAGGGTCTCAGAGGGACCAGAGGTGGCTTGACCGTGAGAACAATGAGCTTGGACTCCAGGGCTCCTTGCTTCCTTGAAGCTACTTCTTCCGAGGGCAGGAGCCTAATTTGTGTCTGTCGTGGTTTCTTTCTTATGAAGACCCCAAATCTTCTAAGCTTCATAAAGCCAGAATGTGCCGCTGGATAGCTCACTCAGAAGGGTTGACTGGAAAGGAATTTAATAAATAGGGTGACCAAGCATCCCAATTTGCCTAGGACGCCAAAAGTCTGGGGTCCCAGGAAACCCTTCAGTTTCCTGTGCAAACCCAGGTTGCTGGTCCTTCTGAAGGGAATCTTATGGCCATGTGGGGAAAACAGCAGAGAGAAATGGGTGTCAGGGGCCTGACCCTGCACTGAGTCCCATTGTTGGGGGGCTGCCTGCTGGACTGTGGGTGCCAGGCCCTGGGTCCCGGCTACTAGCCATCCTCTCTGCCCTCCTGTCCTAGTGACCTGGCTTGTCCTCAGCGAGATTTACCCCATGGAGATCCGAGGGAGGGCCTTTGCCTTCTGCAACAGCTTCAACTGGGCCGCCAACCTCTTCATCAGCCTCTCCTTCCTGGACCTCATCGGTGAGTCCTCTGACCTAATTCCCTGGCCCAAAATCTGGAAACAACTGCCTCCAAACAGAGCCCAGGCTTCTATGTCATCTGGGTATAAGTGACAGAAAATCCCATGCAAAACAGTTTGTGAGCAAAAGGTAATGTTTTTGTCTTAAGTCGTGAAAAGAGGAGGGTAACTGTCTTTAACCATGACTGATCCAGAAGCTTCAACAAAACTGTGGGCCAGCTTTCATACTCTCTTGGCTCTGCCTCCCACGCTGTGAGCTTCATTCTTGGGCAGACTGACTGCGGGGCTGCAAAGATGACCACAAGCGGGGCTCTTCATCTTAGCAGCCCCTGGGAAGGAGAGCCTGTTTTTTCCAATGGTTCTAATTCATGTCCTGGGACTGGCTCTCATTGGCCCAGCAAGATCACATGCCCATCACTGGACCCTCACTGGAAGGGTGCAATATTCTGACACCCAGGCCTTGGGCCACATACCCAGTCTGAACAAGGTGGGGTGGTAGACACCCCACGGCATGGACTGAGAGTTGGGGGAGGGTTCCCCAAAGGAAAACTGAGGTGCTATTGAAAGAATGAGAGGGGTTGAGAGACAAAGACAACAGAAGATACAACCTGCGAAGTTTCTACTTCATTCCAGTCCCCATCAGTTGTCAGTGGAGGGGTGGAGGGGATTGGCTTTATTGACAACCTGGGAGTTGAGGCTGAAGGGGGGATAGAGCTGGAGCATCCATTTCTCCTCAGCCCAGGAAGCCATTCCTGACTTGGGGGGTGGGGGGGGAGGAGTTTGTTCTCTGGGTAGAGGGTACGGAGATTGGGAGCCCTGAGTGTGGGGCTTTGCTCTCTGATCCCATCAAGACAAGTCCATTCTCCTCTAGTAACTAAAAGTTTCCACTCTACAGCAGAGGAGTTTGCATTTTTTTTTCCTATTTGCAGCAGCAGAACAATTCTCCAAATAAAATTTTGTGCAGAAGCTCCACAGAAGTGCCTGGCAACATCCAGAACTCTCAGACATGCTGTAAAGTCCTCCAGGCTGGAGAAGAGGGGAAGGTCCACTCCCCCACCCACCCCTACCCCTGGAGAACGTGTCTGAGATCAGGAGCCACAGCCTCTCCTTTTCACTCTAAACCGGCTTAAACTGGCTCGTGCCCGCCTGCCAGCAGGGAGCTCTGCTCAGATCTGCTTTGAACGGCACCTTCTCTTCCTAGCTAGCATTCAAACCCAGTCTGGGTGCTGGTGGGGTGGGGTGGGAATTACATGGGCCCAGAACACTAGGGAGGGGTGTCTGAGATGCAGAGGATACTCATGACCCAAGACCAGGGATCATCAGGGCCCAGGTGGGTGGGGCTCCTTCCCTGCGGGCCCAAGGCACAGTTCTGAGAGTTTAGTTATTTTCCCACTTCCTGCAGCCAAGTGTTTCCCCTTCAAAGGAGGAGCCCTTGGGGGCTGTGGGAAATGCTGGTGGGAGAACCCGTCCACCTCGCCTGTCTCCCACACCCAGTCTTTGGGAATTCAAATTTCTCACTCATAAAAGAAATTTCTCATTTCTTTTATATGGAATGAATGAGAGATAAGAGAGGAAGGGAGACAGGGGAGGAAGGAAGCAAGGGGAGGAAGGGCTTCTTAGAATTGTTTCATATCCTATCATCCCCATCTCACAGATTGGGAAATACGTCCTTCCCAAGTCTAGCCAGGTAGTCAGAAGACTAGAACGCAGCCCTCCTTCTCCCAGCCCAGCACGCCCTCTCTGCTGGTATAAGGATTAAGTGGAGGTCAAGCTTCCTAGGTGGCTCAGAGATAAGGAATCCGCCTGCCGACGCAGGAGACAGAGGTTCAGTCCCAGACATTTTGTGCATTTGGGCCCTGGCCCTTTGCCTGCCTCTGGGACAGCCAGTCCTACTCCTGCTTTATGGTTCTTTTATCTGACAGTGTGTTGGTCATTCTGCAAATCTACCATCTGGAGAATCTGCTCCAGGTAAACTGATTTTAAGTCCACCTGGAACACTGGTCAACCAGTTGGCCCAGGCTAAGCTCCACCCACATTCCCGCCCCATCATTCCCAGGTGCCATTGGCTTGTCCTGGACCTTCCTGCTGTACGGGCTGACCGCTGTCTTCGGCCTGGGCTTCATCTATTTCTTTGTCCCAGAAACAAAAGGCCAGTCATTGGCAGACATAGACCAGCAATTCCAGAAGAGATGGTAAGGTGGTCAGGGCTGGCCGAGGGGGATGAGTGACCTCAGACCAGAGCCCTTTGCTTCGGGATTTAGTCCTTACACTTTGCCTTTGCAGAAGAGTGTTTTTCTCTTCTGTTGTTCTTACTGCCTGGACACAATGACTTTTGTCCTATCTTTGTATACGAGCTCTTCTCCTTGAGTGGGATGGGAAAATGGGACTGGAGGGTGGTGATGTGGGAGAGGCCGGTTGGGTGTGATGTCACTTCCCAGCAGGAGTGACAGGAGCTAGTCTTTGTGTGCAGGAGGGTCAGTCTGGCTGTGATGGGGAGATCTGGCTGTAGGGAGCACAGGTGGACCCAGGAAGACCAGGGGGAACAGCTGGGCTGTTCGGAAGATGGAAATGCACATTAAGGCAGAAAGCAGGAAGGGTCAGGTAGGAGTGGGGGTGGGGATGGGATGGGGACCCCAGGCATGGTCCACTCCCATCAGCCCTGGGGAAGGCCACCAGGCCCTGCCAACCTCCGCTCTCTGTGCTGCAGGGTCCCCCTGAGCTTTGGCCATAGGCAGAGCTCGGCTGGCGTCCAGTATAGTCGTATCGAGGTCTCCGCAGCCTCCTGAGGGGGTCCATCCGGAAGATGCTGGAGCCATGGCTTTAATAGACAGTCTTCAGCTTCCTGCTTGCCTGGGCCCCGGAACACAGGGCTAGATGGTCCTTCAAGACTCGCCCTTGCTCCAGAAGAGGTCTGTTTTGCTGGGGCAAAAGGGTTCAAAGTCTGAGAGCTGCACAGTCTTCATTTTGAGTCTCAGGTTCAGAGTGTTCCTGAGGCTCTGCCTTTTTGCCTCAGTTTCCCAACTGACTCTGCACATCTCTGCAGTAATGAAATGATGTGAGCATCTCACTGTGACACTATTGCTCCGTGGGCTTTCTCAAGCAGGAAGTCACTCCTGGGATCACCCCTAAATCCAGCAAAGGATACCATATTATCTGCTCTCTTTCTCCATCTGGCTGGGACTTTTGGGGGGGAACACCTGCTTTTTGGTACTCAGATCTCATTATGTTCAACCCTCCAATTCCCTTGCCCAGAATACTTGTCATTCACCAGCGACTCAGATGGTTGGTAGGAGGCTCGAGTTCTAGCCCTGACTGCAGCTGTTCTTGCTGTCTGACCGTGGGCCTCAGCTTCCCTTGTGTATACAATGGGGGATCTGAACCAGGTGGTTCTTAAGATCTCTTCAGAAGCCAATGAGTTGGAATTTTAAATGCTGGCAATACCATGGATAATCAGCATGGGCCCTGCTTTCAAGTTGCTAGTAATCCCTTTACGGGAGATAAGTTTTAATTAGGGGAAAGGTGAAGAATTCCAGAGTTGTGTGCCCTGAAATCCAAGGGCCATCACAATGCAGGTCATGAGCTCCAAGAGCAGTTTCAGGATGGCACAGGAGGACTTTGCAGAAAGGAGATAGGTCTGAAAGCTAACAAACCCGGTTGTCGGTGTGGCCTCCACCTCTTGGCAGCTACTGACCTTGACTAAGTAATAATTCCCTCAAACCTCAGTTTCCACATGTGTAGAAAGGAGTTGACTTTCCCCCTAGGGGTGTATTTAACTTCTGTCTCCCATCAGGAGTGTCTTCAACTAGTCCCATTCAGCTGGTCAGGATGGATGGGGTTTCTCTTTACCCTCAATACCTAGGTCCCCACTTTGGGGACATTGTAAAGGAGTCACCCCCACACTGCCCCAGGCCAAAAGGGCTGAGTTAAATGGAGACAGAGCGAATAGCTCCACCCCACAGGACTCTGGCCCCTCCGGAGTCCTCCTCTCCTCTCATTTCTCGATACTTCCTTTAGAGCACTGAAGCTGGCTTATGCTGGCTTGTGAAAGCTAGTTGTTAAATTTTCAGACTTTTGCAAGCTCATTATTAAGCACAGTTGCTAAAAAATTAAATTATTTAAATTTATACTTAAGTAAGTTATCTTGAAAAACAAAGTAATGTATACTCTAAGCGCATCACTTCTTTATTTTACTGCATTTTGCTTTCGTCTGTGCTCTTAAGGTGATGTACAGCTATTGTATCACAAGAGGATCATGGGGGAGGGGCACGGCCCACCCCTTGCCGATTCTGCATTCAGTGATGTCGTGTTGGTCACTTGAGATGTCCACTGGGAGTGTCTTTGCATCAGAGAGACTGAGGAACATGATAGTTCGGGGCTTGATGCATTGTTTTGTTGATTTTCCAGTCTCAACAATGTGATGGATGAAATGTTAATAATGTAAATTAAACTTAACAGTTTCTCCTGTCTGTAGTTGATACATTGTGAATGGCACAAAAAAATGGAGAGGATTATTATCCAATTCAGCCAACAGGTGACTCATGTCACCAGTGAAGGAGTCTGGACACACATCTTCCTTGTTTTACTTCCATCTCACTCATTAACGTGAACAGAAATTTCAACCAGCATTCGTGTCACAACTACACACATGCTTCAGTGATGTGAGCACCTTCCTTACTGAGTCGTGTTGCTATCAAGCATTTCTTCGTGGTCTAATTTTGTGAAATCATGGCTAAATTGCAGTGACAGTTGGTTTTGGAATCCAGAGTTTGACAGGAAAATCAATGAAAAAAATTTGAGAGAATTAGTTGGGTAGATGGAATTTACAATGAAGAGTCTTTACAATAAAGTGTTTATTATTATTTGTAAATTTGTCAGTTTTGTGCAACAGCGCATCCTTTATCCCAGTAAAATGTACACACATTCTTTTCCCCCTTGAGAGCAGTTACTGTCAGTCCACTAGGAGCGTTTACCCGGCCACCATTGCTTACAGCCGCTGCTCGGCTCCTTCAGACCCAATTTTCTCTGCAGGAGCCCCCAGACCTTCTCAGCTCTCCTTTCCTGTCAGCCTGAGGGGATACCTTTCCAGTCTTAGGGTGGGTTGTCCTCTGTTTTGATCAGGGTCATAGACTCATCGATCAGGCAGGGGATGTATTGCATGTGCAAAGGCCCTGAAGTAAGCCTGAGATTCCGTCCCGGAGGAATGCCAAAGAGGAGTGCGTGAAGAGTAGTGTGATGGCAGAAGATGAGGAAGAGGTCAGCAGGGGTCAGATCATGAAGTAGCTTCCAGAAAACAGAAGCGTTCCTGACTTTCTTCTAAGTGTTCTGAGGAGCCACTGGAGAACTTTGACAGTGGAATGGCATGATCAGACTTAATGATGTAAAATACCCTTTGTGGGTGATATTGGTGAATACAAAAAAAAAAAGTCAGTTTCAGAAATAGAAACCATAAAAATACTATGAAAGCAATCCAGTTCCGCTGGATTTGATTCTCTTGCAATACTGTCATCAACTGATGGCTCTGAACTTAAGGCCTCCTCTGTGCTGAAAAAGGGGGCTCCAGTGAGAGAGGGGTTTATGACCTAGTAGCACCATCCTCAGACTGTGTCTGGGCTGAGAGAACAGTGGTGTGATTCAGCACATTTTCATGTTTGTGAACCACTGAAAATCATTTCCGATGCCATGGGCACTATGCTTCCCAGTCTTTGGTTGATGTAGCGCTGGAGTAAAACGATTAAGGAAGTCTTAAGCACCAAGAAAGAGACAGGGTGCCTTAGTTACTCTCTCATCAGACCCTCCTGGAGAGGAGCATGGACAGTGTCGGCCTGGAACCATGGAGACAAGAGCAAGGTCCCCACAGCCAGTGTCCTTCAAGGAGGACTGAAGGGGTAGGGGGATGGGTCCTCCAGCCGAGGAGAAGGCTGTGCACATCCACCCACTATCTCCCTGCTGCTTCAAGGGGCCACTCATTCATGGGACAAGATGTGAAACCAATCACAGTCCATGCCTGAGGTCATGGGTCATCAGACTTGGGAGGAGAATCTCCATTTCTCCTTTGTGGATAAGGAAACCAAGGCTTACAAGGAAGATGACTGACCCTGTCCAGCTCTAGCATCCTTTTGGATGATACCTCAGCGTGGCCTCTCTGGGTCCGTGTACCTGCCATTCCAGCAGCCTCCTGCTCCACTTTGCCTGCTCCATCCCGAATCTGGTCAACCTCAAACCTGACTCAGTCTTAATGTTTTATATCAAACATCCCAATTCCTGATCACCATGTGCTAACATTTCTCCTAGTACTTGAATGCTCCCGCTGGCAATAACTGTCTGACCTCACTGAGATCTCTGATCTCTAAATGATGATCCTTGACTCCAGTGCTTTTCCAGAATCCATCAAGAGGCTCATGGGCTTCACTGTCCTTCTTGTCAAATCTAGATCCCACATCCCAGCCTTAGGACGAATCTCTGCAAACACCATTTTATAGATTAGCCATGTTGATACTGGCTTAATGTACACACCTGCTGCACATGGGCAGAAAAGTCAGCCAGCCTGACAAGCAGGTTTCACCTGAAGCCCAGGAACTCAAAGCCTCACACTCACCCTCTAAATGCTCCAACACAGCAAAGGAAATGCTCAGTGAGTGGAAAAGGCAACTGATAGAATGGAAGAAAATATCTGCAAACTCTAAATCTGATAAGGAGTAATCTCCAAAGTATAAACTCAACAGCACAAAAGCACATAATTGAATTTAAAACTGGGTGATGGACCTGAATAGACATTTTCTTCCAAAGACATACAATACTGTTTGGCCAATACAATGGCCAACAGGTACATGGCAAGGTGCTCAACCTCACTATCAAAACCACAATAAGACCACACAGGTGAGGATGAGCATAATAAAAAAGAAGAGATAACAAAAGTGAGGATGTAGAGAAAAGGGAAGCTGCACCATTGGTGGGGATTGCAAACTGTTGCAGCCACTAAAGAAATCAGTATAGTGGTTCCTCAGAAAGTTGAAAGGAGATCTATCACGTGATTGTCCACTCCTAGGTACATGTTTGAAGAAATTGAAATCAGTATCCCAAAGAGTTATCTGCATACCCGGTTCACTGTAGTATTATTCACAGCAGCCAAGCTCTGGAAACTACCATGGATGTTGACTTTGGCCACGTGAATTGCTCTGGCCAATAGGATGTGGGCTGAAGCTACAAGATGTCAGTTCCCAGCCTTGACATTAACAGGCAGTGGGTGTCTCCTCTCTCTCCTTGGGGAACTTTCTACATCTACCATAACACCCCAGTCAATCGAGCCTGGGCCCCAGAAGGAGGAAGCTGGTACAGTCCTGAAGCTGACCTGTAGCCTGCAGTGGGGCTGTGCCAGCCAACCCACAAGTCTGAAAGTGAGAAAGGAGTGCTAACTTATGGTTCTGGGATTGCTAATTGCACAGCAAATAGTGACTAATACAGCATCCACCCAGATAGTAAGTGCTTTTAACCTCACCCACAGGGTATAGTACTGCCATGACTGAAAGCCCTGAAATATAATAATAACAATGACAGCGATAATAATAGTAATACAGTCTTTGCTTGCAAAAATACAAAGTACTGAAAAACATCGAGAAAAATAAAACCCACCCAAGCCCTACTACTCAAACATAACCACTAATGTGCGTGCATGTGTGGTCATGTCAGTCGTGTCTGACTCTCTGCGACCCTATGGATTGTAGCCAGCCAGGCTCCTCTGTCCATGGGGATTCTCCAGGCAAGGATACTGGCGTGGCTTGCCATGCCC